GAGTAAGGCAATAATCTTTGCTGTTGCAGGTGATCGACTTGTTGGTAGCCATGTGCAGAGCTGCCCTTCAGTCTTCACGCAAGAGCCTTATTTTTGAACCGTACCCTTCTATTGTCGATCCACACAACCCCAAAACTCTCGCCTTTAGTCCAAAGGTATCAGCTGAATCAAAGTTACCACTGGCGTGATCCGTCGTGCACTATTCAGTGTGTCATTTTATTGATTTGTTTTCGCTTTTGTTGTAACAGAGCAGAAGCTATGACAGGCTGCAGAAAGCTCTGGACAATGTCTTGTTGGTCAGGAGGATGGCACAGGTGAGGTCTTTCAAAGTAAAATCTACACTCTCATTTTCAACAATTACACATCGGTCTGCTGAATGAGCACAAACTCAAAGCAGGTAAATGATTTCCTGAACTGGATTTATTAGATTATAATGATTAAATTGTCTTTAAATCATACTCAGGGTCCATATTCTGAGATTAAGAAGCAGCTGGACAAGATAGACCCTCTCGCACATCCATTACTGCAGTGGTGAGAGACTAAATCTGGATGTGTTTTTAGTTATTATTTAGTAGATCGCTGCATATCTGTCCTTTTGTTACTCACTCGCCTCAGTAGCCATTCATCGAGTCTAGTTCAAACTTGGCAAGCGCATTGTTTTGGGCTAAGTAATTGCAGCGTTGCGTCTGAAGTCGTTTAAATGAAAGTGTTAGAAAAGAGTAACTTGAGTGAAATCCAGTTATAGTTAGGTTAACATCTGGATTTGCTTTTGTATGTTTTACAACAGGATTTTAGCAAGCAACAGATCGCACATTGTGAAGCTTCCGCTGAGCAGGGTATGCCCAAGCAGTCAGATTTATTAGCAGTCTAGCTGCAAGCTTTAAAGCAGTTGTAGACTAGTTAATAATTAGCAGCCACATATCAAATTTCACACTGTGCTTTCTATAATTTAATGTTTTTTGTTGTTGTTGTTTTTAATCAATTGCTATTTAACAGCAACTGACGTTTATGCACACACCCCATCAGTTCCTGTTGATCAGCAGCCCTCCATGTAAGGAGGCTCACTTTCAAACTGCCAAAAAGCTTTATGGCAGCACCTTTGCTTTCCAGTAAGTGAAGTCAAAGATTTTTTTTTTCATGAAATTTTCACATCATCACTTATACAGTATATAGAGCATGATCCATGCTTAGTAGATCATATTTCTCTTCTTTCAGTGGTTCCCACATTGAAAACTGGCACTCTATTTTGAGAAACGGGCTGGTTAACGCATCTTACACAAAGTTACAGGTAGAATATATAAATTCTAAATGCTTATTGTCTTTGATCACCGTCTGAAGTTACAGACAATTTCAACATAGGAAATTTTTATGTGGATGTTCAGACCACCGAAACCTCTCCCTTCTTTCTATTTTAGCTCCATGGTGCTGCGTATGGGAAAGGCATCTATTTGAGTCCCATTTCAAGCATATCATTTGGATATTCTGGTAAGAACTCTGTTTCTTGTCTGTCGATTACGAGTTCTTTTTGCATGTTTTTAAGAGTATTCTTCCATTTTTCTTTAGAGATGGGGAAAGGTCAGTACAAAATTCCTACCAGAGAAGAACTCTTGCAGAAATACAACCGAATAAACCAAATCAAGCAGGTCGGGTTGTTCACATTTATCTAAATGCTGCAAACATTCACTCTGGAGTACAATATCCTTTTTTGCTTTCAGTATCTCATCTTGTATTTCTATATGTTTTAGGAACAAGTGGGGGAAGGCAGGTTTTTGCAAAGCACGAACCTAAACTGCGTTGCACTCTGTGAAGGTAAATACGGAAGACCCCACAAAGCAACAAAGATTTATTTAATTGCGTGTGATGTGATTTTGTCTATCTGTTAACAGTGATAACTTCAAAAAACCTGCAAAAACACGGCAACATTTGGGTGTGTCCGGTTTCCGACCACGTGTGCACGCGGTTCCTCTTTGTGTGAGTAAGACAAAAAGCAGAAAGCAAAAGCAAACAATGAGAAACAGTTCCAACATTTTTTTTCTTCAGAAAGTTAGAACTCTGGACTTTATTTGAGCTTCCTAAAAAGGCTGCTTTCTTCTTCCACAGCTATGAAAACGGGCAGGTGGGAGATATCGACATAAACACCCAAGAGGACAAAATCCAGCAGGAAATTTCACGAGTAATTGCTTCAAAGCCATGCTGAGAAAACCAGGATACATACACACATATGTCATTTCTGTTCTTTATAATAAAAACAAAAACTGTGAGAATGAATATTGATTGTCTGTGGCTTTTTCTGGTTTAAGACTTTAACATGAAACACGGAGCGCCTTGAGGTAAAAATTTATGTCTTGCACAAGTGAAAAACATTCACATGATTTAAACAAAAACCTCAAAACTGAATATGAGAAAAGCATACACACCACATGTATGCTGATGTTTATTGTGGCTAGCACAGTGGTTGGCACTGTTGCCTCATGCAAGAAGCCCCTGAGTTTGAATCCACTGGCCAGGGCTTTTCTGTGTGGAGTTTGCATGTTTTCTCTGGTGGGATTAGGTTAATTATTCTAATTTAGCTATAGGTGTGAATGTGAGTGTGAACAGTTGTCGAGTGGTAACCTGTCCAGGGTTAGCCCTACCTCTCGACCTATGACAGGAATAGACCCGGATGAGGACAAGTGGAAAAGGATTTATGGAGTGACAGCTATGTCCTAAATCCATTAAATTGGAGGAAAAAACAATGTGCATGACAAGTTTTATGCTAACCAGACTCTGACTTAGTTGAACACTCCAAAAAATAACTCTTTAAATTAACTTAAAATAATCATGAATAGGATTTCCACCTTACTAAATGTCTTACTTTTGTTGGACTGATGTAATTTGCCTGGATTGGATCAACTCAATTAAATTAAGTTGGGCTCAACTGCAGTAAATAAGCTGAGTCATCATTATTTAATTAAGCTGGTCCAACTAAAGTACATGAAGTTGAAAGAATTGAATAATGCTAAAATAAACCAATTTAATCAGGTGGAAATCCTTTCCATGTTTTTTATGACCATTCAAATAGTTTTTTGTTTGAGTACACAAACACATATTCACGTGTATATGTACATATACATACATGCACACATGTGCACAATCAAAGTCAACAAAATCTATGTGATATGAAATAAACAGTCAATCATCAAGTCCTAAATGGAGTACAAAAAAGTATGTACATACATGTTGATCCCTATTACATGCTCAACACTTTCAGATTGATCACATTCATCACCCCCACTTCCCCTCAGCATTTGTATATAATCACCCTACAAAAACAGAGAGAAAAGAACAGGTATGATCCATCCATATTGTATGTATCTAGCAGTTCATCTATAGATGTATTCATCAGACATTAATTTCATATTCTTCCAAAAGCATGTTTTTTAGAACAAACTAATGCTTGAACATTCCTGTAATGCAGGTTCACTTTAACCCACGGTGATATTAGTTTTGCAATATGTACTTTCTTCCACAAGATGGGGGTGTGACCATTAACTCTAAGGACCTTTTCGATATAAATACAGCGGCTCAAACCCCACAACTGTTATGTTATGAAAAACATAAACTGGAGACTGAAGGATGTTTAAACTGGGTACGCAGCTGGGCGCTGGAGCTTCTGTTCATTTTCCAGCAACACTAAACATGTCAGATAAAAATAAACACTTGGGGAGATTCTGGAGCGTGCGCAAGGCCTCCAGTGAACCACCTTCAAATATTTAATGAGTATTCTCGGGATGGGAATGCTGCTGTTAACTGATGTTTATGAAAAGCAGATAATTCTTCTGTAAAGCAACTTAATTTGAACAATGCATTTCATGCTTCTGCTGATTGTTTAACATGGGGTGCATACCATCCTGCGAGGCAGAAATGCACCATTATAACAGCATGCTGATTCCATATGAGCCCTCCAGCTGCCTCCTCACCTCCTCCCTTGGATCAGCTTCTCTAAAGAGAGCTGCAACCAATGCACCTCTGTTCCCATCTGGATACTGATTTTCTGTCTTTCTATTTAATGTACTTGTGGTCTGACAATAAAAAGTAGCAGCTCCAAGATGTGATTGTCCTTGTACATGTCATTTCTTAAAAAGAAGCACAACTTTTTTAGCAAGGATTATTTTGGGGTCAGCCCAGCAGGCGATGCACTGAAAGGAGGAGAGCTGTGAAGCTGCTGTAATAGCCCAAAGGAAGACATTTCTCTTGGACCATATGGCTCTCTGATGATAGCGCACTGGGAAAATAATCTTGAAAAACCACACTCCATTATATACTACAATGACTAGCATTGCTCCACATCTTGAGTGAGATTGGTTGTTTGGTGTCATATCTGCAAAACCGCACATTAAGAATGTCAGCAAAGTGGCACAATTGAGTCGAGTTCAGTTAAAACAAAGATTTATTTCAGCTGCGTGCCTTGATCTCATTAACTCGTGTTCATTCGTCTGTATAATTCAAGCAACCACACAGACAAAACCATTCCCAGATCCCTTAAGCCTTTTAACAAGAAACCCAACTAGCTGAAATATACAGACATTATTAAATGAGGCAAAATGTTGCATGTGCCTTTAAGAGCACTATGTCCCACTCTACATGTCTCTCTCTGAGCCTCATATGTGTCTGTTGGCATCAGCTGTCCTCAGTGCTGAAAAGAGCAAGGACATCTTTTCCTTCACTTCAGTGGGATTAGTGGAAGAAGTGCCCTCTTTATTCTGCTGGCTGCCATCTCAGCGCTCATAAAGGCAAAATGAAAAAGAAGCTTGGACGGAGAAGAGAGAGGATCAAGATAAGTGACAAGTTTAGATTACAGAGCCATTCAGCTTTTACTTTCTTAGAGTAAAGGAACAAGAACAATGTTTTAGATCCCAAAGGAGACATACAAATAGTCTGTTACTGCAGCTTCCCGCACTGTTATTTTGCTGCTTTCTAAGTAATGACTTAACCAGGGGTCAGATGAACAGTGCTATATGTGGCACTACAATGGAACAGCAGCCTACTTCATTCAGTCCCTCTGTCCAGATCTCGTTGCCACTTCCAAAAACTGCTGGTGAGAACAACTTCAGGAGAATCAGCCGCACAGAGGACAGCATTCCCTATCCGATCCCAGGCTTGGCCGCAGACATCCTGCACATGCGAGTAAAAGGAGGAAGCAAGATTCGCAGCTTACTGCAGTTTGCAGCAGCTCGCATGCAAGGGGAAGTAAGAAACCCAAATGGGATGTCACTAAGACAGGTGGTCTTCACTGGCTCAGGCAGAGGAGTCACAAAAACTATCACCTGTGTGGAGATCCTGAAACGTAAAGTTGAAGGTCTGCACCAGGTGTCCAAACTCTACTATAACACAGTGAAGGAGGTTTGGAAGAGTCCACAGCCTGGAGCACCAGGTATAACCATGGAGCGGAGAGTTCCTGCCATCTGCATCTATCTATCTAAAGATCCTCTGGACCCCCAGGAGCCTGGATATCAGCCACCACAAATCAGCAGTGTTCCTACAGAGGATGCTGAGAGACGGAAGGGTCTGCTCAGGACGGCTCATGCTCACTCATCCCCACACACAGCCAAGAGACTCTGTCTGGATGATTCGAGTGCATGTCCTCCCCTAAACCTCTGATTACTTCATGAGAAATAAGAAATTTGGCATTTGCATAGATTTAATAGATTGTTGTGTGCTCCGTTTTACAGCATGAAGCTTTCTTGAAGAAAATAATACCTCTGCATTTCTGGGGGTTTATCGTGATGCTTATGTAAGGCATTTTGCTACAAAAGTAAACAGTTGTGTCTATAATGCTTCTTTGCAATACTTTGTCACTTTGTTGTGAAATGTAACAGGTTAACATATGACTATGACTATTATTATCAACAATATCAGTAATAGATTTGTAGTCATAGAGGGGGAAGTATTTTAATCCTGCTGAATTTCTATGTTGCCTCACTTACAAAGAAATGAACAGTCTCGGATTTTTATGAGAATTTAAAGAGCTAGTGGCTAAAATTCCTCCTGAGATGTCTTACTGCTGTGCTTACCGACAGTGATTTCTCCACCAAGTACTAAGTCATGTTTTGCTTGGGGATTAAATACTGATTTCAGTCAATGTCAGGCATTCAACTTTGATTTTTGATTTTTGGTTAGTATTCTATCTCTCTTCATTAACATGAAACTACCTTAAAAATCAAGAACTGATCATTTCTTTGTAAACTTCTGCAGGGGATCAAATGATTATTTGCCCCACTTTATAAGCTGATGATGGTGTTTTAGTGTAGTTACATTAATAGTTAGTTTACTTGCAAATGAACAAGCAAACTCCACTGTGCCCAGCTGGGAAAACAGCTGGGGAAAGAAGCATACACAACAACCCATGCTAGACACTAATGACCACTGTCCGGGTCATTCTGATGCAAAAAATCAACCAGTAGTCATGGAATTGGTCATAGTCATTTTAAATATAAAGAACATGTTTTGCATCAGTTGTCTATATTCTGTTTTCTGCCTGTGGAAATAATTCATGTGCACAATAATGGCTCACAAGAGCATACGTTTTTGGTTTGTTTGACTGACTTTTATAATGATGGTACTCTTTTGTAGTAGAGTCACATCAATAAAAATGAATCATAAAGTGACACAGTGGTCAAGTGGTCACCTCACTAACCTCCAGGTTAGTTGGGACTTCTTTGTGTAAAAGCTGCATGTTCCACCTGTGTGTGCTTTCTCCCTCACAAGAGATTGTTATTTTTAGGTTAACTTTGAACTGGCAATCGGTGTAGTTGTTTATATCTGTGGTAGACCGGTGACCTGCATAGGTTATGTGTAATGCTCTAGTTCGCCTTTGACCCAGGCTGAATAAATAGTAAAGAACATGAATTTAATTGTATGCATCTTATTTTTGAGGTTTTAGTGTCTGATGACATGAAATAAAAGCAGTTTAAATGTCCAACATTGAAGTTTTGCACACACACCTTTTTCATGCACATCACCACTTATATCTAACTAAAATGATCATAAATCTAAAATGTTCTGCTTTAAGAAAGCTCTGTGTCTTACAGTTTCAACTTGTGTGCAATTCTATCATCAAGAACCTTTGAAACATCTATTTTGTATCGTTCGCATTAAAAAGAAAGAAACAAAAGATATCCCATAAAAAAATACTTCTCTGTGAGAATGACATTGCAAATATTAACATGTTTTCCCAGTTGTCAGTCCTGCAATTTCTTTCTAGGGAAGTCAAGGGTAAATATGAGCTGCAGTTTGCGCGTGCGCAACAGGAGATTGCGTACGTGCCAGGCTAACACAGTTAGCACTAGCTTCCTTCGGACAGACCGCACCGGTCCGTGTAGCTCGCAGTCTCGCATCATGTTCAGAGCCGCCGTCCGACTGTCAGTCTCCGGTGTCCGAAGTTTAACTCGGACGCAACCAGGGAGCCGAGGTAATTCCTAATTCAGTCACCCATTGTAAATATATTAATCTGTAATTGATATAGTTGCTTAGAAACTGTTAGGGAGACAATGTAACGGAAATCAAGTGTGACTGTCGGCACATTTGCGGTTCCTTTACGGCTAAGCTAGCTAGCTTTATTCAAGAAAATCGCTATTAAATAACATTACGAAACTGCATTATAATGATTCAGCCATGATATCCACATTTTTATTCAGTCCAGCTTTTTCCCACGTAAACTGTGGGTGTGGTGCTTTGAAAAATGTCCTGTCGTTCTTCTTGGCGGAGTTTATGTCCTTGTCATGACCCGGCTAGAAGGCTTCGTCTCGGGCCCTGTGATTGTGACTGCTGACGCTAGTTACTAAGTAGGCTAGGTGACTGCAGGAGAGTTCAGACAACTAGAATTCAACATCAAAACGGAGTTTGGCATAGATTTTTATGAAAACAAACAGAATACTTTTTTGCATAGTTTTGCATTGTCTTGGTGTTTCTTTAGGGGTCAAAAAGTCTAAATGAGAAATGTTCTTTGGGTTGCAGGTTAATTAGTATTAACATGATACCTGAGCACATGCCTAAGTCATATTGTTTCATTTAAATTGCTATTAAATATAACCTGAGGACCATGTGACAGAAATTTCCGGTATGTCACGTCCTAGTGTGTCAGTCTGCTACGTGCAGACTGATACACAAGGTAGGTCATATCAAGACGGTGGCAGCGATCCAACTGCATCACATTACAAGGAAGAATTTGTCCTTTTTACATCGCAGATACAATTCCCGGCCTCTTTATTAGATACACCTATGAAATTTAATACTGGCGAGTGCAACAACACTGATGCCGGAATGACTGCATTTTCAGTTTTAGTTGGTTTGAAGAAAAAGTTGTTTTTATTATTATCATTATTATTATTGAAGTTAGAGTTGGGGTGGTAGTGTAAGTGTCCCTAATATTTCGCCCATCATGTATGAATTTTTAAATATGACGTAGCCTGGTCCTTCCGCATTTATTTAACATTCACTGTAGGTTTCTTTTATTAGACACAAATCACTGAAAAAAAATCTGTCTTATCATGCAGCTCTTCTGGCCTCAAGGTGTTATTCACATGGGAAGCAGGAGACAGACGAGGAGTTCGATGCCGCTGGGTCACTTATTTTAACAAGCCAGATATTGACGCATGGGAACTGAGAAAAGGTACGTTTCTGGAATATAGTAATGTTGAATCAATGTAATCATTGGAATTGTTATTCATTGCTGAGGTATGTTTGTCTTGAGTCAACAGAAGTTATTAAAAAAATGGCCTTGTACAATTTTGCATTAAGAGGCTTAGTGAGATTAAGATTTAAGTAAACAGTCATAGTTTTCAATATAATGATTAAAATTGCATGTTTGCTTTGCATAGTTAACAAAAATGGTTGAATCTGTTGGTCAGAATCTGTTTACATTTGTTTCGATTCATTTCCTATTGTAAAACCCATATCATAACAATGTAAAAACTGAGCTTATTATAAGAAAATCAGTTTTCCTGATGAGACATTCACCCTGATATTGTTTTAGTTATATAGACTGATAAAACTCATCTATATTGTTAACAGCTGCTAAACACTGACAGAGGCTGTGTGTAGTTTATAAATAAGCACTAGACAACAGTGGTTTGTCTAAATCAGCGGTCCCCAACCTTTTTTTGCGCCACGGACCGGTTTATGCCTGACAATATTTCACAGACCGGCCTTTAAGGTGTCGCGGATAAATACAACAAAATAAAACTAGTACCAGTACCAAAAAAAAGAAGATTTATTCACAACACACGTGAAAACACCCAGGAAAACCGAATTAACGATAAAAACGATAACAAAATAACGCTGAAAACCGATAAAAACCCTGAAAACCATACATTTCACACCTGAGCCTCAACTCTCACGGCCCGGTACCAAACGACTCACGGACCGGTCCGAGGCCGGGGGTTGGGGACCGCTGGTCTACAGTATGCAGGTTTATGTCAC